TGCACTAAATATTTTTTGGTTTTGTTTTTCCCTTCACAGCTGGGCCTTCTCTGCAGTGGCCGCAATGGAGGGTGAACACGCGCGAAGCACCGGCCGACTGGTGTCTCTTTCCGAGCAGAACCTGGTCGATTGCATTCACAATGAATACATCGATGGTTGCAGAGGAGNCGGCTTTTAAGTACGTCATTTCCAACCGAGGCATAGACACTGAGCAATCGTACCCTTACACCGCCCGCGAGGGGCAATGCGCCTTCAGAGCTCAAAACGTAGGCGCCACCTTTCGAAGCTATGCAAACGTGAGTCAAGGCTCAGAGAACTCGTTGCAAGAGGCCGTCGCCAACGTAGGCCCCATCTCGGTGGTCATTGATGCCAGTCAGCCGTCCTTTCAGCACTACAAGCAGGGAGTGTACGACGATCCGGGATGTTCTGTTAATCGGTTTAACCACGCTGTAGCGGTGGTCGGCTACGGTCTTTATCAGGGGGTGACGCCCTACTGGAAGGTGAAAAATAGCTGGGATGTCACTTGGGGCGACCAGGGCTACATTCTCATGTCGCGCAACAAGGGCAACCAGTGCGGCATCGCCAGCTACGCATCTTACCCCATTGTCTAGTGTCCGGTATTTGTTTTTCCTAATGGTCAACCTACTAATAAATGCCCCGTTCTAATTCAAAATAAATTTAAATTTCATATTACAATGAACAAAAATTTGAATAAAAAGAAAGTTTGCAGAAAACATTGTTTCCAATGCTTGGACAATTTGTTTCATCTGAAACTCTGTTAAACTAGGCAGTTTATATTGTAATGAAATTGTTGATATCACTTTCACTACTAATGCTGCTGCCATAAAGTTGAAAATTAAAAGTGAAGTTTGCCAAACTACAAAAAAAGTTGACCAAAGTTTAATTAGCTTATTGTATAATTGTTTGGCGTTTCTAGCAAGTGTTTAACAAAAACAAATGTGTGTCACCTTGAAGTGTCAATGTTTGTGCTTGAGGAAATAATATGAGTTTGCTCTAGTTTAACTGCAACATCTTAAACTTCAAACAACTGCTGACTTCTAAGTTCGTTAGAACTAAATAATAAATAATAAAACTTTTGAATGTTTTTTGTTTAGAAATGAAATGAACAACAACTTTTTTTATACATTTTGCATTGTTTTACTCTAACTTTCATACAGTTAAGCAAATAGTGTTTATGAAAACTTTTTTACAAATGTTGGCTCTTTTCAGCTGACATCAATTGACATCTTTTGACTAGTATAAAAGACAGCAACTGTCCAGTTTGTAGTCACCAAACTCGTGAAGCAACAGTTTTTATCGGTTCACTCCCTCTGCAAACTCACAAACACTCACTATTTGCGTAACTTTTAGCAATGGTTTCCTCTTCTTTATTCCTTCTCGTAGCCATTTTTTTGGCTTTTTTTGTCCAGACTCAGTCTCATCAGCTTTTTAAGTTTGATGATAAAGTGGAAAATACTGCAATAACGGCTTGCAACGATGATGATGCAGCTATTGCTTTTCACAAAGATGATTGTTCTCGTTTTTGGAAATGTAAAAAACCAAAAGCTTATCTTCAGGTGTGCATTGCTGGAAAAAAGTTTGACACCAAAACGCTGATGTGCACCAGCCCAAAACTGGCCACCTGTCGAGATAGTCAAGGAGGATGAGTTTTCAATTTTATTTGCTTTTTACAATAAAAACAAAGTAAGTTTTTAACTTGTTTTATTAATTGTTTAAACAAACTTATAACTTTTATTTTTTAACAACTTTAAACAGCAAATTTTTATTTTTATTTTGCAATTTAGAAATTTGTTTCACTGATTTTGGACTTTTTCATGCAACTGCTTTTAAACTGGTTTTGAAATATCATTAAAACTGACTATGGGTAGTACACCTGCTCCGTTATTTTTTTACAAAATATTTATTAACAACTATTGTCATCCTTTTTGTCTTTGAACTAGCCTTTAAATAAAAACTTTTTTTATGCACGTTTTGTTCATTTTTAATGTGTTTTAACATGTTATCACTAGTTAAGTTAGAGTTTTTGACAATACCAAATTAATGCGGTAGTATTTAGAAGATAAAAAACCAACACGCGCAGAGAACTCGCCGGTTCGTGTCTATTTCCTAGCAGAACCTGGTCGACTGTTCCCACCATGACTTCAACGGCGGTTCGCCCTTTCCCGCCTACAAGTATGTCATTTCCAACCGAAGTATAGACATTGAGCAATGGTACCCTTACACTGCCCGCAAAGAGCCCAGAACTTTTTGCCCTCAAGCGGTGGGTGCCTTCTTTACCAGC